CCGATTCATTCGTCTTTCTAGCACACACATGTCAACAACATACCTTCGTCTTTAGGGGGCAGCAACCACCACTCTCAGAGCATCCCACTCGGAGTATTCACCGCTGTCAGCATATCACTCGCTCTCATGAGCAATTATCAATAACCATCGACCAAGTCGAGTGCGCGGTACTTTGTACAGCCAATCATATCGCTCTGAAGAACATTCTCTCTAGGAATCGGCGTTTGTGTCGGAACGGTGGCAACATTTAGCTACTTATGAGCGTGAGCGATACGTCACTTTCCGTTCGGGTTCCGAACACATAATGCGGTTGTCGAATGAGAAGACTTGCACACACGCACTATTCCTGCGTCGTGCTTTGCACGGAAAGAGGCGTCAATAACGTCACACTCCTCGTTGGCAGGGGTTCATTAGCGTGTTACGCAGTATTTAGTTCCCGGAACCAGTTCAATCTCGTGTCGCACACCTCGATCCGGAGGTATGACCGACGGCGGGTCTTTAGACGGCGTTCTGGAAATCCTTTGCCAAAGGATAGTACGGATTGACAATCCACTTCGTGCGTTCAGCACCTTCTGAGTGTCTTTCAGGACAGCTTCATCCAGAAGCGACGACGTTTTAATCTGTTCGTTCGATCGTATAATGACCACCACGGCTAACCTTTAAGGCTCCGCTAAACCCTTCAAAGGACATCTCGTCTATCTCAAGAAGAGCATCTACATCGGAAAAAGCCGCGAGGATGACGTCGCCTTCTTTCTCCCCGTCATACTGTTGACAAGGTGGAAAAGCTGCGTACTATCGTCTACGGTAGACACACCTTGGGTTAGGGTCGACGCCCTGCGTCTTGCAGATATCATACGGCTTCGCCATCTCTTCTCAATAGAGGTTTTACGTCTCATCCAGACCAGTGGAGCACGCACTCGACGTCGTCCAGTGTTCCTACTCCCTGCTCCATCAAAGCCTTGATGGTATTGACAGCACCCGACGAAAAGAGCCGCTATTTTCGCAGTCTTCGTCCAGTGGATAACGTGCTACTCCACGAGCATTAGAAGGGCCTTGCCCAAGATGCCTCGGGCCTCGTCCGACCATGCCACTCTTCGCAAGCAGCTACTGCTTCGATATATGAGCAGTGCTCAGGGGATTACGTGTCACTACACGCGCATCAGAAGGGCCTCGCTCTTGATGCCTCGGCCCTTGGCCGATCATGCCACCCTTGACATGCATCGACTGCTCCAATACTGGAGCAACGCTCAGTTGGTTACGTGTCACTCCACGTTCACTCCGCGAGCCACGCTCGGAACTCTTGTCAAAAACATCTTTGATATTTGACAACTCCTATACTCCAATATCCAGCACATTGACCGTCCCGGTCCAGTGCCCGCGCCAATAGCGCTACTGCTTCCTAGCAGAGGTAGATCCATGACTCTCATAAATCTACTAGAAGACTTGCCCGTAGCGCCCAAGGTCTTCGACCCCAAATCAATGTATGGTTCATTGTGTTTCAGCCATGCCATACCAAGGATAAGGTCGTACCTTGCATACAAATTAAGACTAGACAGCGTTTCACCCTATCAAAGTTCACGAGGTCCACAGGGACCCTCAGCACAGTGAGGGTGTCACTCAACCGCGTTTCCAGTGCCTTCAATCGTGGAGCGTCAAACATAATTGCCCGACACACCAGTATCGATAGCGATTTTCCATGGCCTTTCAAAGCCCTCACGGTCGCTTTAACAACCAGCAAGCTTTGCTTGCACATATTTCGTGTTCAAGAGCTCGCAGCTCTCCAGGGCTGAGCCCTGCTGCCCTCACCCTCTTTTAGGCTCAACAGAACTCAGTTCTCCCCCGCTAGGGCGCCTCGCGCCTACTGGGCGGTCTCGTTTCCTCGCGTTAAACCAGACTGGTTAGAAGCGGGACGTCAGTTCGACGAACCTGTGCGTGTCGTACAAAAGGTACAACCCGTCCGAGGGTGACGACTGTCTCCATAGACAAAACACTGTCATGTGTTTACACGCTGCTCAGCAGCTCGGAGCTCTTCCTCCTCACCCTCAAAAGTATTCGCGTTCACCATGAGTGGCCTGGGTTGAAAGGAACCATCAGTCACCCTCGGTGGCTTCATAGACGCAGACGACGCTGACAGCTTCAGCTATAAATGCTCTAGCAGAGCATTTTTATATTTTGAAGACGCCTCTAGGCGCGCGCTCATGACCTCGGGCCCTTACGCAACGTGGCGCTCCGAGCCCTCAAGGCCCAGCAGGGACATCAGCTTATAAAGCTCGACCTGCATGCCCTGTGGCAAATAAGTTATTCCTCCATCCTCACAGAGGATCAGTGGTAACTCAGGCATAGATTGACCACGAGTGCTACCAAGTGCAGCGGAGCTGGCTTAGAACCTGGCTAAGAAATAGTTGAGCTATGGTTACCGGCCTTACGTTCTCTCGAGTGTAGCGGATCGCAACCCGCTACTTCTAAGCATTAAAGCCTTACCAATGCAAAAGAAGCTTTATTTTATTGTTGTAGTGGCGACAGAATCGCCAATAAATAAAACCTAGATTTCCAAATTAATGTAGTCATACATAATTAATGTAGCAATACCTGATTAATGTAGCAATATGCCTTAAATACTGGCAATCCTGCCACGTGATGGCTTCTTGTTACGGTCTAGCCACACCACTGTGTTATCACACTAACTGTGTAATACATACCTATGATAATTTTTTCAAACCCGCTTTTTCTCACAAGGGCAAGTGTAACCCCGTTACATGACATCTATGTCTTGATCTGTTCTTCGCGATGTAAAGCATTAAGAGACGCTCAAGTCGGTTCTAAGTTTTACTGAAAACTGATACTGGCTTTCGGAGCTGTTAGACATTTGAAGGAATGTGTCTTTCTCACTTAGCCCGCAATCGAGCGCGATTCTACCCTTCAGCATTTTTTGTAGCTTTTATAAAGTAAGGCGCCATCCTTATGGTGGGTATTTATCTCATCGAACAGTATTGATCAAAGAACAGGCACTATAGTTGACTTGTTTTTTTAGAAAGTGATCGTGAGGCGACTTTTGAGCGCTCCATTTCGTAATTGTGGGCTGATTAGTCGAAAGCAAAAGGTGTTGAAGGATTTACCACGGCGTGGAAACTAGTATCGGTTTATTTGAAACTGTGAGGAAATCAACATGAGTCGTTGCGAATCTTGAGCTTGCAAAAACGCAAACTGGACTCCCTGAACCACATATAAATCATTAATGACATGCTGGGTATCGTCGTGAGCTCCGGGGCGGGGTGTTACACCGCCTTCAGGCGTAAAACCAAAGCACGGAGTCTAAAGTATAGGTGAAGCGTAGCGAGTGCCTTGTCCCCACTGAAATCTTGACTGTGTATCTTGACATATAGATGGAGATACCAGGCAAGAATTCGGAGAGTCGTTTGCGCTGGCGTCTTCGCCAAAATTGACATTTTGATTTTGACCTTTACGGCCGTCGGTCGCAAGGACCGACTTGATCGGAGGCTCTCTTCCATGTTCAGCAATATTAGAGATAGCACGCCCGGTGCGAGTGAGCTTGTAAAACCATGAAGTCAGGAGTTCAGGTAGTGAGGTTAGACTGTGAGCGCAATGTGTGCTCGTTGAGCGCTCACTTCGCGCAAATTGTTCGAGAATCCCAAATAATTGCATATCAGTGTGTCAAACATTATAAGAAAAAGTAAGACTGTATCTTAGTGTGTGTTCATTTCGCCTATCTGCGTACTCATGCAAAATATAACATTGCACAGCTGTCCTAAAGTCACGATACATGTTTTTGTAAATAATGGAAGTCTTAATGTAACATACCAATGAAGACGACAGGACCCAGAATGGAGAAGCTCGTTGTATATGTAGGCTGTTTGCCTCACACTTCGAAAAAGTAATAGTTTTATTGTAATAAGCTGTAAATCGCATAAATTTAATTTTGCTTGAGAAACAATCATTCATATCTGTTACTCAAGATTGAAGAGCAAACTAAAAACGCAATTTCGACGGCTCTCAATAATGCACTTAGCACCCAGGCTTCACATTTATTTCTGCCCTCTCTGCTATTTTCAAAGGACACTTAAAGTCAACTATATTTCTGTAAAAGATGTAGGGCAACCCCGTTTCAGAATATGACTGATCTGGAACCAAATGATTTGATCAAGATTGCCAAAACTGCAAAGTTTAATCTGAAGCAATACCATCGACAAGCCATGCTAATGGCAAGTTTTAATCAGTAATGCTTTGAATCGGTACCTGAATCACTGACGACCGCGTGATGAGCCACCTCACTCAGACAGCCTACAAACAAAACACCAATATTTTTGGACGCGTCGTTTGATAGATCAGCAACTAATTCTTTTCTAACGGAAAATAGCCTTTGCTGAAGGGTCTTAAGTCTTTGCTACCAAATTGCCGGAGTTAGCGAACTAGCCAAGGGTGTGATGCTATTCACAAAAGGTTTTAGCTGCTTACGCTTTACACCTGTGCGCACAAAAGTTCAAATACATCTGAACAGATTAGGCGACCAAAGCATAGCAAATGACAAGCCATATATCCTTTTTTGCAAAGCAATCATTTTGATAGGGGTCATGAGCCTCGTGCAGAGTTGTGAATAAGTGCCGTTAAAGAGCAAGCCTGTAAATAAAAAAGATTATGCGGACGCTCAACTATATGATGTTCTAGGGCGGCGATCTAAGTCACACAATCCGTGCCTCCCGAAGCTTTGCGCGACGCAACACAGGTTATATCTGACCCGTTAACCGTACGTTGTTTCTCGTCGACGACACCACAATCGTGACATGCAAAATTTAATTTTTTGGCGACGCGAAGCTCATTCTCCACTGCATTAAGACGTATTTACTCGGAGTTATACTTGCCAACCATCTTGTCAATTTTGGTGAGATATGTCGCGACAAGTAGCCGCACACAGTGACACAAGATTTGTATAGAGCAAAACGCAATGACACAGGATTTGTTTAGAGCAGAAATCGTTAATAACTATGCAATTTCAATCTGGTGAGACTTCAACACGATCATCTCAATCGACATCTACATTGGGTAAACAGCAATATATGACAAAGGCCGAAGCAAAACAGAAGGCATGGAATGGCCAAAACGGTTTCGGAAGTACCGTTATTAGAAATTCGTTTGAGAACCCCTTCATATCATTGAAGGTCACCTCTTTTGTTAAATCCTAGTATTATTCAACAATTTCAAAAATAGAAAACTAGTAAAATCCTTATAATATGCGCCATACGAAGTCGTGATAAATGACGGATTTGCCTGTATTGGCGGGCAGCTACTTCGCACACATACACTCAGGCACTGCTCGCATGTTTTAAATGTAGATGAACACCCCCTACTTTCTGTGCTTGTCACAACAATAGAAAAACAGATTTGACTAGTAGGCTTGTGCATATTTACGATGTGACCCGAACTGTCATTTTGACGTCGAAGGAGCAATTGACAGTCCCTGCGGTATATTAGCAATCTTCAATTGCATCCTGCGTTAAGGAAACTCTTCGCAGTGACAAAACTATCGTTGTCTCTCACTGATAGCTATATACAATTAATAAACCAGGTCAAGGGCACTTAACAAAGTTCTGTTCAGCAACCACCACGCCTAGAGAGCCACCAATGCTGTCTTGCAGTAATCCGTTCCTAAGAATCAGCTTTGACGCTGCATTTTGATTACCATAAGCAACACAATCGATTTTTCAATGTGACCCCTTCTCGTTAAACAAATTGGCGACAAATGGTAGAATTAATGATCCCATTCCAATCCCGTTCAGGGCTTTGCGCAGGTGAAAGCATCAGGTGTCACAGTTTTTCTTGGCAAGGGTCGTTGTCGTATAATGCGGTATCTGTACCGGAAACAAATGAATTCTTTGACGCACTTTCTTCGGTTGTTTCACTCTTTATACTCAGAGCTTACGTTATAACAGTCACAAAACGGGTAACGAGTTCATCTCTTCCTCGAACACCACTCGAGTCATTTCGGTGATTTTGCACCTTAAATATCATTTTGCCTGTTCAATAAAAATTTGATCGACAACATTGAGGACAGAATTTCAGCGAATGATACTACCTTGGTCACTTGGCTTATCATAAACTAATTTCTCTTCCTGTCAACGCAATGTAATGTCACTGATACGCATGCAGGACGCATCACACTATAGTGCTGACACAAATCGATGGCGTAATGTCAGAACAAAGATGAGTTGTCTTGATTGACTTCAGAGGCTCGACCATCTATTTGCGTATATCTGTCGTCCTTCTACTCCGTCTTTTCTGATGCGAATGCACTATCATCTAGCTGATATCAGCCCTCCCACCGAATTCCCCTGGAACCAATGACTCACATTCATTCTTTCTTGTCATGACGACGATATTTACGTATACGATTGCCTTTCTGGGTTTTGCTAAAAATCTGCGGCCCAATGCTGCTTCGGCATTTCGAGCTCTGTTTTAGTTACTAAGCAAACATTTCATCAGATGGTCTAAAAACATTCAGGTCCTGTATTGAAAGGATCTTAGCTTTATATATGCACCAAAATACTTCAATTTCCTTGAATAAGCAGGTTCATGACTGGTTAAAAGTATAAAAGGCGAGAAGTGCGAGGTATCGAACCATTGTGACATTCTGTCGATCACTTGACTTGAGGCGTTAAAACCACGCACAACTTATCATTAGGTCGTATCTTGAATTTAGGCCCAGGACGAGGCAATATTCTACGATATTCAATCGCTTCATTCCACCCTTTAGTCCAACTCAATTTTCGATATTCAAGTATCACTTCTCAGGACGGACAAATCGCATAATCGTTTTAACAATTTCAGTGCCTCCGCATCCTGTTTAATATCGTTCATATTCGCATGCAATTTTCACTACGATACGACGAGCTAACGGCTTCCAAAGCTCGAGCAGCTCCAAAATACTTGCAGAACGTTTCTGTACAACCACAATAGTTTAAGACCAACGTCTTTGCAATGAAGAAACCACACCATATTTCATAACGTCAGGGTGTACGTGAGAGGTCTCAGCACGAATCGTGCCTGTAATGAGGCGCTCCATAAAGACTATTATGGTATGCCGCCATTGCGGCGATAATATCATAGTTAGAGTTCAGCAGTTTCTCGTCTCCCTTGGCTAGTGGATAGTACCACAAAAACACTAATCACACTTGGTTAAACACCCGCATGATATATCGCTTAAGATCGCCTATGCTGAAAATGCATTTTCACAGAAATTCTGGAAGCTCAAGATTTCGTGCGTGATTGGCTAGCTTGGAGGTAGAAAGAGTGACAGGTTGATGCTGTGTCGAACGTTAGATCGAATTCATGGTCATCTCAGCTTTGCCCATTCAAAGAAATATACTTTTTCAGTCACTGCCATCAAAATATTGGATGACCGACGCCCGCTGGGTTTATAGTGGGGGTGTATCTTCGAATTACATTCTCTTAACGCCTTCCGGTGAGCTTTTACCGCGATTGGTTTTTGAAATTGCCTTATGTCGTATTCCTTCGAAGAAAACAATCGACATAAAGTTGCGGAGCGTGTCTTCTTGTTTTGAGGTTTGATAAGATAAATCATGTTTCTCCCGTTCGGAGGCTACAGCACTTTCACGACGCGGTTGTGATATCGATACTGAGTTCAGCGGAATTGCTGTATTCCTTGTACTGTAGAAGTTTGACTTTGAAAAACTGTGTTAGCAACATTTGATCGCAGAGAAATGCGACTAAGACCGTAGTCAAACAGCCTTTTAAAGAGTTTCTAATTTTCTTCGAGATTTAAAGAATGACGTAGTTTTCAGAATATATGCATTTAAAGCTAATAAGTCAATATGTAGGATCTACAATATTTATTAACGAGACAATTTACTTTGCTTGACGTGAGGACGTGCACAGCGGCCTCTCGCTTACATGACCCTATCGTTTTCAGTGGTACGAATATTTGAGCACTCGAGTTGTGTACATTAGAGTTCGTACAATTGTACAATATTGCATCCTGCACATCTGTAATTTAGTTGAAGGTGTTAGTCGTCATGTATACAGTAAATACCTGCCATCATACAACCGCCTGTAGTCCCGTGGTGAAGATCTCAAAGATGACACTGAAACGTGCTTTAATTCTTCAGTAGTATGATAAAATAGTGCATAACCACGTGTGGCCCACACAAGCAGTCTTTACTAAAAATCAAGTGTTGCATCATTGACATTATATCGAAATTATCATGATAATATTGAGACGTCGCTGAGCTAATGCTTGCATACCCTTCTCGCTTCAATGACACCTGTATATACAAACTTACAAGGCTTAAGCACTGGTCATCTGACGTGGGACGAATTATGCTATCGGATAAGAATGAGATGCACAAAGAGCTGCTTTCGAAATGCTTCAAGCTTGTATATATTTCTGAATCGACACCAAGCCTTTTTTTCATCCAATGATATTGTTATATTATCCAAATATTGAATTTTCGTCTACGCGTCAGCAAATGAAGGCCATCGACGCCACCACGCACGAGCACGCATACGTCAATGTAGGCGTTTCCTCGGCAGAAAATAAGCAAATTCATCCGCTCGCATTAGCGATGGGTGTTGTTGGTATTTTTGTTCTCGTCTTTCTTGTTACTGCATCTTCGTACCGGAAGCAACAGGTGCAGATGTTGGCCCGTAAATTATTACGTAAGAAGCGCAAAACTGCCACAGGCGAAGATAAAGGCACTGGTAGTAAATATATATCCGATCTACCAAGTTTTGCACGTCAGGCGGCTGAGTCAGGTAACGCGCGCGTTGTCAAGCGCTGGGTCCACTCGACAGACCGGAAGATAGACGCTCGCAGTATCGAGAACCTTACGGCATTGCATTACGCTGTACGTGGTGGCCACAATGAATGTACACGGCTTCTTTTATCAGCCAATGCTGATCCGAATGTATCCGATGAACGTGGTATCACGCCACTGCATTTAGCGGCTTTGGGTGGTCACGCACTCTGCGTCAAGCTTCTCCTTGATAACCATGCCGATCCATTTCTAGAAGACATGGATCATCACACACCATTATTCATTGCAGAGCAGAGTGGAAATATCGGATGTGCGCGCTTATTACAGCGAGAAATGGCGAAAGCAGCCATGCAAGATGATGCATCAGTCACATTACGTACAGGTGCTAGTACAACTCGTATTGATAATGCAGTTTAAACAATTTCGTGCAAAATTTAATCTACAACTAAATTTTTAGGATCTAAATTTCTTTCTATAATTTTGAATTGCGAAATGAGTCAAACATGATACTGAGGGCATTTACTAATCGATCCACTTCTTGTCGAGTATTGTGAGCATGTATCACAATGCGAAAACGCTCAGCACCTTTTGGCACAGTTGGAGAACGAATAGGAATCACACGAATGCCCATTGCATTCATTTGTTGAGAAGCCTTGAGTACACGGTGGTTGCCTACAAATACAACGCTTTGTATTGGAGAATCACTGTCTAGTAGTGCATCACTTGGGATGTTTCGAGTACGGCGTATTGTCTGCTTGAAGTAATGCACCAGATCAATCACATAGCAACGCAATGTGGCAGCAATAGGAGTCGTACATAACTCATGCGAGCCGATGACAGATACAAGCTGGTGGAAGGGCATTGCTGTGGTATAGATGAAAGATCGTGCGTAATTGACTAAATAGTCAATAAGCACTTGGGATCCGCATACAACGGCACCATGACAGCCCATAGCTTTGCCAAAAGTATGAATACGACACACAAAAACGTCGGGGTACTTGACGTCTAATCCAAGCTCACGTACGACACCTGAGCCATGAGGACCATAAACACCTGTACTATGAGCTTCATCGACAATTAAAAACGCTCCCAATTTATCACAGAGAGACGCCATTGCGTCTAATGGAGCAAAATCACCATCCATCGAGTACAATGCTTCAACTATCACAAACATACAGGATCTGTCTGCATCATTTCCGTTTGAAGATGAATAATTAAGCAATTTGCGCTCAAGATCCTCGAGGTCATTATGTCGAAACGCAAAGGAGCGGTCATTAGCGTACGCACGGCTAAGTCGAATACCTTCGTGACATGAATTATGCACGAGCTCATCATAAATAATCACATCTTCTGCCTGTGGCAAACAAGACATGACGCCTTCATTGGCAGCGTAGCCCGAATTAAATAACAACGTTGCTTCACTAGAGTTCAAGTACGATTCATTCAGTCGAGAATCATCCACAGATCAACTGGTAAGGTTGCATACCTATTGTAAAATTTGGCCAATTTCTTTTCAGTCTCCATGAATAACGGCGAATTGCCTGAAATAAGTCGAGAACCAGTTGCACCCAACATTCCTGAGTTTTGACTGTGCAATTCTATTTGGCGAGCTTCTATCAATTCTTTCAGTTGTTGCGACCGCGCGAAACCAAGATAGTCATTTGAGTAGAAGTCGACAATGGATTGCGCTCCATCATCCAATATTGGCAGTGTACGTAGTGTGCCAATAGCGCTACGGCGAGCTAGTGCGCGTCGGAGCTTGTCGTCCACCCGCGTCATTCAACTGTTGAGATTGGTGTGGGCCACATGCTTGACTTGAAGGCACCACATGAAGTGCTGCGACGATAGTACAGCGGTGTGGTAACTTTGTTACCGAGTGTAAAGGTTAAGGGACATTTGAAATGAGTATATATAATTAGTGCGTACCTTTCTGGTGTGAATTATATTGTGAACACAGTAAATCTCTAAATATATATACCGTTTTCTGTTGACTCTCGAATTTTAGGCATATTTTTACATACCATCGTGAAGAATCATGATTTACGGTTGAATTCGAAACGAAAGAGCTCGTAAGACATGTGGAATTTTAGCATCACGCAAAGCATCAGACAATGTCTGTGAAAGGGAGACGTACTAAGAATATTGGACGTACACCTTACACATTCGTACAAATATATGCAAGAGCCATATTACACTGTGAATATTCAGAACTACAGAAGTATCAGTATTCATCAAGATGTGGGATGAGATCCGTGGTACGCGTGGGGTACTTGCTGAAGATCAAATAATAAATTCAGCTTAGTGATTGATATATTGAATCTAGGTATCAATACGTCTTTCGTTTGTCCGTTTCATCTCTTTTGGCTAAACGGTAAGACTGATCGGGCTCCCACGCAAGATTGCGCGACAATTTATCGCGAGATAACATCAAGTCCTAGTTGGCACAGAAGTCAAGTCTCAGTAGGCGCAGAACTGTACTGGATTCATATTTTGCCTATGGAATTCGTGATCAATAGTACGAAGCCGTATATTTTAAAGAGGTAGAGCACATAGCTCAGGCTTATTAAATATTAACATCAAGGGCTTTGTGAAGCCATAAAAGAACAGGATAGCTTCAATAGCGTCGTGAAACACGTGACGCGCTATTGCCAAGAGCAGTAAAAGCAATAACAAAGTTATATACGGATACGATATCCGTGCGTCAAACAACTAGGACAGAAGTAAGCGTCGAAATATTTAGCTCAAGTAATCTTTAAACACTTTGACCTTTTAAAGCGTTGCCCATGCTGGATATGCCGTAGCTCTGGGCTAGTAGCCATGAATCGATCGGAAATTGAAATACTCCGGGACATCACATTATCTTGTTTAGGTGGGGTATGATCGAGCCTTTCCAAGAAAAAAATAGATTTTTGCGCGGGCATCAAGCTGTGTTAACTTCGATGCACAAGATAAAGTTGTCGAAATTGTCGAATAAAGATACTGAAAAGTGCCAAAATCAGAGCTTGGAAGGTAAACAGCAGTTAGATGCGATCTAAGGATGAGACAAAGAGAGCTCATCGCATATTTTAGTCATGGTAGTGTATCTCAGCTGAGACAGAAAACAATGACTTTACTTCGTAGCAGCATGAGGGTGTTGTTGATGGTATGCGGTAAGCTGGCGTATCTTAAGTCAAGGATAGAAATCACGGCTTGAGTTCAATGAGAGCTTCTGTCAGACAATTCCAGCTGGAAATGAAAGACATTCCTGAGAGTAATTCGGTCGCTCCGCTTGTGAGTGATTATAGATGTTTAATGACAAACTCGGAAGCTTCACTATTTGGGATAAGGGGGTAAACCACGCGTGACTTCGCTGTACCTTTCAAAATGGGCTCAATAAAACGTTGGTTAGCAATTTAGGACTTGGTGCGTCAATTGCGACTGTGAGTTGCTGCTACATTTCACCAACTCTAGCACGGAGATCCGCATTACACAATCGCTTTTATACCCCAAAGGGAACATTTGCGTACAATTTCTCAGGCGCTGGAGAAATCGGCGTGAAATGTTTGGTATCGGATGAGGCACTGCGTGAAGTGAGGCTGATGCCGCTTATCCTTTATCGAGGGGATTATATCGACGTCGAGATCAGTAACTCTCCATGGACTTCCTCTCAATTGGTACCCGGATTCAAATATTTTGTAATTTTAATGGTCCTTATCAAGAAAGCAGAAATACGTTCTGTTCTCGAAAATCGAGTTAGTGAGATGAAAGAAAAGTCAATTCTTGTCAGTCAGTGTCGACCCTTTTCGTCAAAAGGACTGACTGCAGTCAGCAAAGTACGCAAACGTACAACAATCCGCTAAATCTATCACATCGACGAAGCGACAATGCGAAAAATGGGTGGGCTGCAGATACGAAATGGTCAGTTTAGCGAGTTTCATCAATGCTCTTATACGATCGGGTCATCCCTCGTACTGCGGTACAGCAGGGATGCTGTAGCACTTTTGCTAAAAGGAATCACCAGCATTACGTTCTATAGTAGAACCAGTACGACTGTAGCGGATCGATATCCGCTTACTCCAGGAGTAACCACAACCTTAATTCAAGGCAAACAAACTCCATTGTTTGAGAAGTAAAGTTTATTATTATTTGCAGCAGAGCCGCCTATATCTAAATCTATAGATTCTCAAATAGACAGTAAAACCTAATAAAAATGCATAACTACTGGCCGTCGAACCACGTGGTGGCATCTTGTTAAGGTGTAACCACACCATTGTGTGATTACGCATCTGTTGTGAGCCACCCCTTCGTACCAGGGCACGTGTCACCCCGTTAAATGCAATCAGTTCTTCAAGCGGGATGTTACAAGTGTGTCAGGTTATGCCCTAGCGGTTGTATATTAGAATTTTTGTACCGAGTTGTAAATACAAACAATGTAATTTCTTTTGAAGATGGAATTCCCCAAAGAATAGCAGATCCTGGGAAGTCGACTAGTTATCCAGGGTATAAGCTCCGAGAATTTCTGCTCACACCTAACCGGCACAAAACATCTATGTCGTAATTAATCATGTAGCGTTATCATAGACAACATCGCTAAATCCCTGGCAGCAAAAAGCAAGATGTGTTCCTTAGAATCGAAATTACCTGCAAGGCGGAATAGAAGCTTGGTTGATTAGATATTGACGAAGACGAGCGCGTGTGTTCGAAACGGTTTCGTGGGTAAAGTGTATTGGTATGCACCGGTGCCCTAGCCGAGTCTACCTATGCCAAAAGTGGTACTACCTTCAACATTCCAAAAACGACGGGTTCTGTAATTTTACCATTGTGGTATGTTTCAGCCATATGAGTAACTGTGGGCATTTCGTTGCTGTGAATCTGTGACCAATGTTTTTTGTAGCTATGCTGCCCTTTGACAAAGTTTTTGTTAACATAGATTGCCTACGGCTTCCGTCTCAGACCATCAGACGAGGTTTGCATAATGCGCTAAACACCCGGATAAACATGTCTCAAGTGGACAATCCGCAGTCTATTAAATCAACAAACTTGCTCATCGCTGGGTATATAATATACTCCGAAGCAATTGCGTGTAATAGCCATGAGTTGTCTGGCACTTTTCAGCTTCTTATGTGTTTAAACTGCATAATACTCCTCTACAGACTTAACAGCATTTATAAAATTTGTTAGAAAATCTCCGCATCTTTTTGACAGCTACACAGAATGTTTTCCAGTCACGGTGTTCGGGAAGATGTTAGTTTTTTGGCATGCTGATAAAACGTCGGGTTACACTTAGCAATATATTCAAATTTATCTCGAAGGATTAAGCGTCAATCGCTAAGTTCTTGACATGCATGATCAAAGCTAGTAAAAGAAGAGTAACACGTTTATGCCACCGAAAAAGAAAGAACAAACTCGTTCTTAAGGGTGGGCTTGCGAAATATCAAAGTGCGATCCCACCCAACAACAGCCATTCGGGCGCGAAGATCTATGTAAAAGACGATCGGGCATTATCAAGTAAGTGAATACATCCGAGCACAGCTTGCATCAGCCTCTGACGTCCGACTTTCCGCGCTCCGAACGTAATGGAGGAATATTTGTCGAGCCTGGTACGAGCGTATGCACAATGCAAAAAATATGCTGTATCACTAGACGCTAGAACGTCACTGGTACTCTGAAAACTTTGTCGGGCGTAATCAGCCACTTTGAACGCAACCTAAGCTCAATAAAAGATTACTGATCTAAATTGAAAACCAAACTACCAATTCAATATTATTGTATAGGACGCACTCGACTTTACTTTTTCATGAAACTAGCTGTCGTTCGATCAAAACAAATTAATGCTTTTCGCTACCATAACCTTTCTGAATCATTATCCAGAAAATTTAATCTTAATCGCTTAAATCCGCCTATGATTTTGAACAGGCGAAAGAATTGGCAGTATTCCATTATGTTCTTCGTATAGACTAAGCTAGTATTCACTTCCAGAGTATGCTAATTGTACGGCAAACGAGTCAAGCAGGGGAGATATTCTGTGGCCGGTCTCTGGCCACTACGACATGATTTTTCCTCGACAACGAGAACACACAATTTGGTGGTATCTCTAGGGTAGTTGCTTAACCTCTTACGCTTGGTAATTTCTTCTTTTTTCAGAGTTGTGTCTTCAGTACTCACCGTATCAACTTGAACATCTTCCCTCCTAACATTTTTGATCATGAAAAACGTCTTCAAGTGTACAAGAGAAGGCGATGCGAAGATAAAGCCATTTTTACTGTCTCAGTCGCTTTATTACGAGTATAGAATACCTCTCAAATATGATTCTTTTCCTGGTAAATATGTGTATGAGTCACCGAATCGTCGTATTTTTACAAGGATGAGTCTTACTTAATAATTTAGGTCCACGCCTTACTACCCAAGCCTCAAGGTTACGATCACCTTGTAAATCGGGTTTGAGCCGATTTAATCCACATCAACAAGCTCGCTGACTACGACATACGCTCGCTTTCATCCGGGTTTTATATAGGCATAAAAATATGTAATCGGCTTTGTACGTATATACCCTTATCTCGGAACCCCCACGTCACTAAGTTTATAAAAGATTTTAAAGCGTGTATTAGCAAATTGATTTGCGACATCCAAGATATGATAATCCAAAAAAAAACGTCGACAAATTTGTGCGCTGCTGGAAAGAACAAATTAATCAACCAGTACTGCTTTTAGTAAACACAACTTTAACATCCAACAATGTTAAGTTCTCGTTTCATGGATATCTTGATGCAAAGTTAATTGGAAACAATTTCAGATGAATAAAAAACGCGGTATCAGAATGAAATCCCCCTCTGTGCAAAGTGCCATTTTGAAGCTCGGTGCCCAGGTGACATCATATCAACACTACTCTAATCAATTTGTTTCCGTGAAACTGAAAATCGCGCATCGAAACCAAATTTACCGCTTTGCTGACTTAAGCATTATACAATCTTGAAAAATCTCATCTCCTACACTTTAGCTGTTGCACCTTCATACCCGTTTCAAAAGTGCTTCTTAGTTTTAGCAGAGAGGTTTATTTAATGTCGAAGGTCAATCATGGAGCAGTGTGTAGCACAGACGTTATGGCTCTTAGTCAGTCAATGGCTCGTGGCATTCCTACAAGGCCAAACGACGAATGGAACTGTATTTTAGATTCAGGACAAATAGAAGCCGAGCGCCGCGTCATCATAGTCTTTCATATTATGTTTCAAGGAACTCTTAGCACGGTTTTGTTGCGAGGTGTCCACTTTTCGCATTTGCATTGACTTCAAATACGATAAAGTTTAATCGACACTAGTGCGCCACCCAGAGGATCTGCACGACGTTACAAAATACTTCTGAGCTTTTTAAGTTCTACAAAAGAGGTTCCATAATATCGTGGTGCTTAAAACTGACCACCGCTGATGAAGACTCTGTCTTCAGCAGCCTATCCAATGACTCCTCGCATTCGCTCGAGTGCCCTCTACTCATGTGCAGACAATTGTGAAAATATCTCATTCGTCGGCACTCAGTTTGTGGTACTTGCGACTATTTGATGCCAACGGCCCACAAGCTTGTATATTAATCTCCATCTATTTTATAGAACGTCAGTTGCGTTAGGGTCGGGTCCCATTAACCTCTGCCTTCACAATGTACGATTGATTTCGATGCTTTTTGGTATTGTCTACTAAGACTCAACTCTTACCGCAGCATGAACGTCGACTGACTTTACGTAGTAGTTTAACCAGTTATGCATTTTATTCTATATCGAGATTGACAGGGCATGATGATTTGATTGGTCGCAGGTGTAGCAGCCGCACAGAAATGGACGCCTCCCGACTTGCAAAAAAAACATTTTTTAGTCAGTCTTTAGATTTTTTTTACCTCTGGCGTGCTCATTGGGTCTCTACCACCCGTATTCTATACCGCCCTCGTGCATTGGAAATGTTGACCCGCACTCTTTGCGGCACTTACTGCTTCCTGAATAGAGGATGGGTATATGTTGAAATTCTCAGTGCTTGTCGTACCTATACGAAGACTCACCGCAATCTTCCAGTATTTTTGAAAGGAGATACGATCGTTTGAGCTCTTGGTTTGGTCACAAACTGCGACTTCAATTGATTTTGATCGATTTTCAACTTCGTTCGCAGGCAGTAATCATTTACGTGGTGCAAAACCGCGATGATAGTCTCTTGAATAATTTATGTGCTGGGAAAAGACTCATGTTTAAAAACAAAAAAGCTTAAGGCCATTCTAGCGCTCGGCGTTCTATGTCATGAATCACTCGCACGATGAACTGTTGGTCATTGTGAAAAAGCGTCGAGTTTCTACTATCTCAACCTCTCGTGCCCAGAAAATTTACTACCAACGCAGCCCACATAGATGATACAACTAACTAACAGATGATGTCTCGCTCTAAGAGCTCTTAAGGTGTCGGTTGTGCTTCTATCCTACACCTTCTGGGGGGTTGCATCAGCCCACTTCTGTCGCTGTGGCTGATGAAAGTCTCAGACGATCTGTTACTGCTGAGTATCCCTGGCTTTTAGTTGATTTACCACCATGGAACCAACGAGCATCAGTGGCTTGTTACACAACTTCTAAAGCTCGAAATTAATATTTGAACATTAATGCTCCATCCTCACATCGGCTACTGTCTACTTAAGACTCGATTGTCGTATTGTTAGCTATTGCTTCCAGTGAAGGGGGTTCTGTGGGACTGCAGCCTTGAACTCACGTGTCTGACTGCTTCTGCTTTTGGCAGCACCAAACTTTCTTCCCCTTGATTTTATATACATTCTCAAGCTGCTACTTTGAGAAGCAATAGCAATTTCGTGCTATAGACAGAGTTCAATTATGAGCCTTTCTGAATCGTGATGGGTAGTTTCTTGTTATTTCTGGAGATAAAGCCTTGAATCTATCTCTTACCAAAGATGAGGTATAATCATTGCTGAGTGTTTTATACATTTTCTGCAACAAGGCACGCTCCATCTTGTATGGTGGAAGCTTTATTCCTAAGAGATAAAATGGCTTTGTACGCTCTGCCCAGGAGCGGGTTCAACAGCCTCTCAAGTACTTTGTTCTTTCTTCGAAGTGAAGTATAAATTAGAAATAAGTCTAGCTTGACTTTATTCGAAATATATCTGGTAAGATTCTACGTAATGCACAGTGTAGGCCAGAGCTCAAGTATCCCGCGGACCACTCCTTTTCCAAACGAAAATGACGGTTCAAAACGATTTCTGGAAACGTCTCTTCACCCTCAAACGTACCAGCTACAAATCATGATATTCTATCATGGTGTAAGTCCGATGCCTCTCCTTCTCTGAGCGAAATGTGTGTTCAAAACGATTTCTGGGTAATTCACTCCAACTACAAATCTTGACACTTTATCATGGTGTAAGTCTGACCAATAATAAAGTGGTCCGTCCGTAGAAGTAAGTTCTTCAATTAAAATCCATTTTGAACAGCAACATGAAAAGAATTACACAATTACAATTCTGCCAAAATAATTTCACCTACAAAATTGATACAAATATTTATGTTTGATCAAAAGTCTTTTTAACGGAATACGCCGAAAGGTCAATTTGCTGTTAGAGACACGCGACAAAATGTAATCGCGACGCTACAAATCACTATGACGTTAGGGAAGAGACGTTGTGAAAGCGACCAACCGTCTCCAACGTCTCTTCAAGTTGACCCTTGAGATCTAGCAGACCAACATCTAACATTGATATGAACTGGCAAGGCCACTCCAGCCGCGAGGAGGTACAAGCTAGCGGTATCTTAGACAGGAAGGCGCAACAACAGCATGAGAACGGCTGCGACTCTTCACCGCGCTTAAAAATACAGACATGCTCGCAATGTCATGGCCATCGCATCGAAAAAGTCTTGTACAACTTTATGGTTTTGGACCGTACGTGTTCCAAGTGCGATGGAGAAGGCGTTTGTCAGCGCTAAAAATTGGACCACAAGATACTTTAAATCTTAATAAAATTGTATGTTGTTTCTGGGATCTGTTGGCTTTCTGAGTGAAACTTGACGTTAGTGATAATAGTGATAAGCTCTGAGCGTACGACGCTGTGGGAGCACAAAGCTGTAACACTCCAATGCAACAGAAGAGCGAAGAAAAATGATTTTAATTACATCAACATTTACACACTACCTGTCCACACTGTGCAAAAAGGTCTACATGTCGTTATTGGTACGTCGCTTCAATTAGCGCGTTTACTGCTTTGCAAAATTCAACAAATATTACGTGCAATGAATGGCTCTCACTCGACAAAAAGCAGATTGTCCAAGCCAAAATCTTCCGAGTTAGAAGGCAATATGCGATCTTGATGGTGGCAAGGCTCTTTTATCGGTGTCCCACAATTCACAGCATTCACACCTTGCAAACTGACGCTGCTTGCAGCATCTTGCCAGACGAGGTCAGTTTTGCAATCAAGTTCATTTTTGCAATCAAATTCGAGTGGAAATGATCCGACCTCAAAGTTTGTTGATGAAACCTGTGCGTCCCATATCCAAGGCTCGAGAAATGCACCCTGCAGCGCTGCGGCATCAGCCGTAGTATTGCTGCTATCGTTGCCAGCAATGGGCATGTAAGTATTATTTTGCAAGTCCATGTTTTTCATGTCAAATGCCTTCAGCCCGTTTAGATAGCTTGAATCATTTGAATAAGCAGTCGTTACTCCATTGCACGTATTAACTTGGGGTAATGAGTATTGAAAGCCATTACGATCGTTGTTGCGCAAGAATGATGGCGCTAAAGACACCGGGGGGCCACCAGTCCGAGGCGTGGACGTCACAAGATGGTGCGGCTGTAACGGAGGCAAAATAAAGTGCTTCAATGAATCATCACAAAACGCGTCCAAACCATTGTATGGCTCTGACACATCCTGCTTCAGAGCGATATTCGGACGAGCCAACTTCTTGAGAGGAGGCTGGTGGCTGAGACCATGACGAAAGGCATTGCTCTCAACGTAAGAGCTTGAATTAGGACTCCGATACATTTCAGTAAACAAAGATGACACCTCGGGAATGCATTGAGTTGAAACCTGGACATTTCCAGGTCTCTTGCGTGGAGCGGAGCTCCCAATCTTGTTAGAACTTTGGTTAACAAAGCGTCGCTTAATTGGTATGTCACTGGTAGGAGGAATCACCTGTGTGCTCTTCTTACGCCATTGTTCTCGAATAGAAATGGTAGAAGTTCGAGTAGCCGATAAATCTGGTGGAAAACAGTTGTGACTGAACGTGCAAACGCCACTTGATTGAGTCTTGGTCCATTTTCGAAAGCCAAAGTTATTTAGTTGTCGTTGAAAGCTGGCAAACTTTTGATGTTTAAAGTACTTTGGCAATATTTCTCGCTCAAAACGTTCCATTTCAAGGATATGAAAAGCCGTCACACTATTAGGCTTTAACTCCTTGTTCTGCACCCAGGAAATAATACGAGGATCTTCTGTTTGCAAAATCGCATACAGTGAGCGTAAAAACTTGGGTACTTTATTAGCAGCAGCTGAAGCGGCTAATGCAGCCGGCAGACCCGATACATCAGTTGCAGCAAGATTGTCAATCTTTGCAATATGATCAATATCATGCGATACACGTGCACGCTTAGCAGATCGAGACGAGGTAGTGTCCGTAGTAGGACGGGCGGTTTTCGCGGACGGCATGATGCGCTGGACTATTGCTAGTTGAGCCCGAACTTTCGATATTCGATTCGGTGAGGACTGGTTACTGGACTGAAAATCCACAAATGAACCGTAGAAAGAGACCGCGAACGTATGCTGGGAGACTGCGGTGGAGCTGCATTGTCCGCCGCCAAGTCTGCCGCTGGTCACACGGGAATAATGTATATTTGACCAATCAACATACGTTTTGATGCGACCCGTTGGATCGCGTCCCAGTGTTGGGAGACGGGACACGAAGATACTATGAGCCTATCTTATCTGAACGACAGTGCGAGCAGCTCAGTAGTGCATTTATTGTAAAGAAGTTGGATCTTTAGTACTAGAGATCACAAATGTATTGAGTCGATTGCAAGCTACGATATATTTATATTTAAGATGAACTTAAGCTTAAACTGATCCCTTTGTGGTACTAGCAACGTCGCAGCAACGTTATAGTCTCAGTCAATATAGAGTCTCTACTTTTAAACGTCAGTGGGTGCAGTGCACTCTATCCATAAGTAAAACGGCTCTGCCGGTCACGCGCGACAATCGCTGACTACAAACGTGCTGACAAACTGGCGTTGACCAGACAAATGTTCAGTTTTAAGCTTGAATAGCAGGAGGTGACGCGATTAGAGGCAATAAAATCAACAAAGGTTGGGAAATTAAAATTGATCTTGCCATGCTGGACATGGCACGCCAGAGGCGGTGGCGCACGCAAGCCGAAAATCGACGTGCCAGGGATGAGCTTTACCCAAAGCAAGCATTAGATGATTACTACTGCAAAGTAGAGACAGTGTAACGGGTGAATCACATTGCTGGAATGCGCGACGAACAGCATTCGTGAACGAAATCAGCAGTTGGAATTTTTACATACTGAACGCAGCCGATATCACAACGATACTGTGATAGTAATGCTTGACGTTCCGATCCTATAGGCTTAGCCAGCCGTTTATATATAATTTCCTTCGATTATGCTCATTGATTGCTCCCAAGTGCCAAAATGTACATACTCGTAGTTTACTCAAAAGCTCAGCAATCATTGAAATTGAGATGACGCAGACTCGCACGCCAATATAAAATCTTACAGGAGAGACCAGTCTATGATCCATATCAGCGTGCGTTTGCTTCTCCCCTTGAAGCCCTTCCACAGCGGTCTGATCGCGAGCGACTGGCGGTAGCAAAACCAGCTATTCGGCATTAAACGCTAAAACTACCGTTTAAATCGAGCCATATGTTAAAAGTAGATGATAAAGAATGACGGTCATCGCTGACGAGCATTCTCGATTGTCCGCTGATTGTCCATATCGCTTCTATTTTCACATCTTTTAGGAGTCTCTTCTCGGTGAGCCTATCCATAACTAGAAGCATCTGTATCCAAATGAACAGGCGCGAAAAATGATCATGAGGTAAAGAGATAAGCTTTTACTTAATTGGAAGAATTTAAGACACTAAAACTTTTACGAAGTAGTCGTTCACCACGAGCACTAGCTAGCCAAGCACCAACATCTGCAGCACTTGGACGTAATTTTGGATCACGAGCTAGACATGCAGCAATCAAATGTGTAATTGGCAATGGACAATCGGTTGAGAGCTGAGGACGAAGTCCATCGTTAATAATTCGGCGCATTAAACACAATGGATGTTGCACAAGTCGCTCAGCGAGAGAAACAGGATCATGATACGGAAGTGTGCACGTGTCTAGTTCACTAAAGAGAATCCCAAGTGAATAAATATCAATTTTCTCATTGTACTCTTCACCCAGCAATAATTCAGGAGCAGTCCATGATAAAGTACCAGCAACACCTGTGACTCTTTTGTCATTCTTATTACCATTAGATTTGCGTCGACTAATACCAAAGTCACACAATTTCGCATCGAGTGAAGATGAAAGTAGAACATTACGGGACTTCACATCACGATGCAACACCATTGGAGAGAGCGCGTGCAAATACGTCAATGCACTAGTAATAGCTTGAGCAATTGTCAATTTATGCTTTGACCATGTAAAATGATTTGTATGTATCAAGTGTACTGAACCATAATCACATCCACCATTTGAAGGTGAAGATGCTGATGGCACTCCACTTCTGTCAATTTGAAGCGATCCACGGGACACTGAGCTTAAACGAGTACTAATCGAACATTTTGAATTTACTTGAGCTGTTGCTGTAATAGTTCGTTGATGAGCAAGAAAACGCTGCAAATCACCAGCTTCTAATAATTCCTGCACCATAACCACATGTCCTAATGTATTCCACGCAATCCCATTTAACATCACAATATGAGGATGTTTCAATTGGGCGAGAAGGTAAATTTCGGCTAAAAACATTTCCATCTCATGGAGCAGACGACGTTTTTCCGGGATCAATTGTTTCAATGCGACTTGGGTATTGCGATGACGTGCAAGCCAAATTTCACCAGTTGAACCCCGCGAAAGTGGTCGAAGCACCTGCAATTCACTCATTGGAACACGAAGCCGCCGTATTTTTCGGTGTGATTCGAATATTCGTAAACTTCGAATGGCCATCTCATTTTTGCGTGCCGTGACATTATCAAGCGTTGACACTTTTTCCGTACCATGCTCATTTAATACTGTCCCTTTTCGTAATGGTTGCATGCGTGCGTTGGATACCAATGGATCAAACGAAGACGCCGATAAACCAATTGTTGAGTCAAAATGATCAAATGCTGCAGCGTTCTTTTCACCTTGATCAGAGCTAAGAATCTTCTTTGATTCATCCTGAGAGAACTGAGCACTAGAAGATCTGTCACTTTCGATACTAAAAGAAGAATTGGACAAAAATTGCTGCTGACTTGTTTTAGATGGTTGGGACGTTCGAGAAGGATTGCTTTGTTTGTATTTAGGTACCAGAAATGCCTCGACTGCTCCATTATCAAACAGATGCTGATTTTCACGCATATACAAATCCATTTCTTGTTGAGCTTCACCACGCAATGCCGACTTGTAGCGATAAACAGCAACAACACCAAATGTGACAAAGGTGAATATACACAGCGGAACCAGCAACCACGTCTTAGTATGATGATGATCAGCTGCGTGTTTTAAAAGCCATGTAGACGCAATCTTGCCTGCATTTGGTGTGCAAAATTTCGACTGGTTAACCAAGTTATACGGTGCACAGGGGATGACCATAGCAGGAGTAAAGGGACATTGTGCGTATGAAGCTTCTTTCTTTGTCGTATGAAGTGCAAATATTAAATTTGGCGCTCCGTTGAAATCCGTATAAGCATGACGTTGTACTGTGACTTCAGGAAGCATGTTAGCTTTTCCACCATTTCGCCAAACCGTTGCATATTCCGGTGCTGATGTGTCGTCCATTGTGTCCACTGCACATTGAACTGCTCTATAAAGTTTAAATGCATTGCAATTAAGTGCCTGATAGAATTGAGTTCCATCTTCAAGCATACACTCTTGTAGCTCACAACCGGCACGCTTAAGAGCTTTAGGTGGCACCACTAGTTCCGCCATGGAGCGGCCACATCGTGTGTAGACCTTGGCTACTGTATATGTGGGTGTTAATACATAGCCAGCGTCCCAAAGAACAGCGCGTTGCAAGAGACCGGGGAGATCACTCCATAAAAGCGAGTTGATACTAAGGAGCATGACCAATTCATGAGGTAAAGTATCAGCATTGATGTTTGAGAGTTGCGCAGTGTTGTCTAGTTCTGTGTAGAGCACGTAAAATTGCTGAGCAAAGTCGGAGTGAAGACCAGAGAACTCGAAGGTTGTATCCACGGGAATATTAATGGAGGACACGTCTTGCAAGGTTATCACCAATGCTAGCAGTACAAGCAGCACTGCTTGCATCACCGATGCGTGCTTGTTTCTTTAGAAGACGATTGGATAATATCATGTATCTGCTAGTACTGTATACAGTACAAGTCGCAAGTTCAAAAGCTTCGCATTCGTTGTCAACGAGACTGATTACAGCAGGTTATAGAAGTCTCAGTCGTTACGGTTGTTGCTATTCGGCATACTGCATATTGCTTAGTCAAACAAATGTCATGATTAAGCATTCGTGAGCGTTTAGTCTTGTTAGACTGATCTGGAGAGTCATACACGAATCGGCTATATTTTATAAGGGAGCCAGTGATAGTTTTCTGATATTATATTTCGTGCTTTATGATTTTCTAAGATAATGAGGCTATTGGTAAAAGTCGGTAATCACAGTAATGGGTACGAAGAATGCCACGTAGCCAGAGTAACAGATTGTCGTGCACCGCACACAGAGAAAATTTTGACTCTACTAGTCCGCGCTATTGGAATCACAGAAGATGAATCGTGTATTTCACCCAGGAGTTAAATCCGTGCCTCTCAAAACCTAGGTCCTGATTTTTGAGAGGCACGGATTTAAGACTTAGGAAAGCTCGAAGTGATATTAAATATACACCAGTAAATAGAACCCGATGAACAGCATAGCGGGCTCGTGTGCCCCTCCTCTCACCCCCCCCTCCTCCGTACCAGTACTTGTCATGATACCTCGTCATGTTCTTTACTTTGGTGCTTTTGAGCTTGAATGTAAGGCCAATGGCAGCGAGTAAGGTTTATGTTGAGCCTTATACGGCTCGTACATCGTAACACCCTCCCCCACCAAATAAGTACCACACCAGGGTCACACTTAGTATGTCTTTAGAAAACATCTCACAACAGCGCACCAGTGCTTGCTTTTACGAGCATATTTCACAGCAGAAGTCCTCTCCGTTACGTGTCCATGAGGCTTAACGAGCTACTAAGAAGCGCACAGTATATGCTACCGACTATCTACGAGTTGACTTCAGCTCGGCAGCAGCGTGTCCTCCGATAAGAACTCTCCCAGTTAATTCAATCCCGTGCCCGGCACCTTTACCCCGAGCATGACATCCCGCCGCAACTTCCATCGCATTTGTAAGGATTGTCAGCTGAAGAAGCTGAGAGTGGGTTTGCTTAAATCGGGAATAAATCGAGTGACTCGGTCAGCAACAGCACGCGCCATTTTAATGTCGGGACCCAGCACGCTTAAAATATCAAATTATTGTTTGATGGCTGCACGTATGCCGCTCCTCTCACCGCTCTTAACACATTGACTGATAGACGGCAATTGCAATATGTAACGCTTTTGTGGTCTTTTGAAGAATTTACTCTGCATCCTTAACCACAGGCTGCGCAATCACCGATCTAATGAGACCGGAGGGTTGTCCTGGTGTCTAAATGATCGCTTTGCTGATAATGGCATGGGTGTCGCTCAACCACGAGACCCAAATGAGCTGTCAAGCGTTGGACAAGTCGGTCTGTAGTGCCATCAAGGGGTGGCGAGCGAGAAATTCCAAAGAGATCAGCCCTGACAAAGCCTGGAATATTACAGTCTACTAACCATTGGTGCGCAAATTGAGGAATCCTCTACCACCAATATAATATATCCCATTATCTTTGACTGATCCCACTGCACAAGTAAGTGGCGTTACAGCAACCTCTGCCGATCTATCTTAATCAGCCGGAATGACAAGCCTACTGTTGCCTTCACATCTCAGACGCATCGATATTGCATTAGCGACATTCAACCATTTTTATCTGGATATCCGCATACGTATACTCTTGCAACTTCTGCTGGGGTATTTGATATCACTGTTGCGGGCTCTTCTTCAACACTAACATCAGCGTGCCTATACCTCGTGAGTGACACAATAAACTAGATGATGTTTAACACTAATACGCCTCATAAATCTTCCTATGTTCTGTTCTTGATAGCACTCCTTGGTGCTTCGATAGCACAATTTAATTCAGGGGTAGATGACCGACATGGGAGTAATAATTCCGACTCGCAGTTGTGCTTCGATCAACAACTTTATTAAATAAGTCTTCAGGTCCCCTTAACCTCCTCTATCTTCTAAGCGCCAAGATCATTTTGCGCTCCATTTCTTCCTGTTTACTTCAAGTTCTGGTCGAACGTTAGGAGACGTCTCAAACGTTCAAAAATCTTTTGCAATCCTCTGAATTTATCACCCACTTAGAAGTCTTGCGGTTGTGAGTAAAAAATACCATGCTTCTAGCATTTCAATAATTCGTGAAGTATTATGGGATGCGATCCTGAAAGGATTGTTCCGCATCAATTTTTTTTCTTCTCTTATTGTCTTTCATATAATTCATGAAATTTTGTCATCCAACATTATCCCGTACGAGTAGCTCGGCGGAGTACTCATTTTCGCGTACGTATCAATTTGCTGAGGAACATGCTGATATTTCTTTGAATATGTGGGCTTGAATATGTTTTCTTAATCAATCATGGAACTTTAACTTGTTACCCATAATGATTAGAGAGCCTTGTTCGTCAACTTACAAGTGATCTGGTCATAGTCATAATCATTTGCCGTTCTCTATGACTAAAGCTCACCACTACCAGCTTTCATGGCTATCAACCTATGTCATTATTCTATATCTGCAAGTCTATAGTTTCTGTGTCCCTACCGAAAAATATCACAGTCTAAGCACTCTGATCTACTAGCCACCGCTAATGTTTAAGTGGTCGAACGTGAACATGGCGATTTGCATTAAAATATTCACTATCACACTCGCGATTGGATCAACTTTCCAGCCGCTCCTAAAAAGTTGCTCCCCACCGTTGCTTAATGGCTTCACAGATATGCTTGCTGTATGCGATTATGTTGCCTTTATTATTTTCTCGATCATTCTGCATACGCTCATGATATATCGGAAATAAATTATTCTAATTCAATGCTAAATTTCTGAATGCTGCAATCCTGGGCTTTGTATATGCTTGAAGATGCTGTTGATTGATAGCCTCATATTCTTTCACTAGAGTGATCTTGCTATTTTCAATTCCATATTTTAGCATGGAAAGGTTGACATATGTGCTTGCTTGCCTTCAACCCACTGTCAAGTGTTATTTTCATATGCTTGCCAACGCCATGATTCTTTATTGATCGTAAAACAAATATAGCATGGGTCACTTTCAAGCTGAAAGAATCTGTAGGCTTGGCCAACCATTTAATTTTAAAATTGGATTCCAAATTAGGTTCCGAGGTTCTAAAATCGCGTGTCGAGCCGGTTCGAAGATGACATCATGTGGTGCTACAATATTCTAGTGAATCGTAACAACCGGGCGAATAGTCGGCACGCTAGTTCCCGAATTTTTGAAGCCAAATTTCAATGATTAGAAGGGCCGTGTTTACTGTGACATTTTCGAAGAGAAGAGAAGAGAAGAGAAGAGAAGAGAAGAGAAGAGAAGAGAAGAGAAGA